GGCCACGCCGCAATTCCATCTCCTCTGTTCTCCTCTCGGGGTCTGGGGCACACACGCACACGCGCCTGGCATGAGTTTTAAACTACCGGTCCAGGACGCTAATCACGGTCAACTACGTGGGAGTCCAGCGACATAGCCATTATGCTAACTGCTGTTCCCCAAAATGCCATTTCTAAATGACATCCTTATTTCTAAATAAATTGCCTTAAACTTTTTTTTACAATTCATTATTTCAATTCCCTTTACATCTATTCTAGTGATATTTCTTAGATTTCAAAAAAGGATTTTTTTTTTAAAAGTTTTTCACATCACCTAGAAATCACAAAGAACACTCTCATGAAGCAGATAGATGTGGTTTCATAGATGTGATTTCCATGTCAAGGTTTGAGTTTCTGCTATAACTCTGATATTGGAGAGATTCTGGACTTTATAAATCTTTATTATATTATTGTCATTCCATTGTGAATAATGTATCAATTTACTGTGTTTTCAACTTTATTCAATTTTTGCATATCTATTTTTAAGTTTCTATTTTAACACTTTTGAAATGAGTGCCATGACTCACTCTTTTTCACTATTGATCAATTCTGTGAAGCAAAGTACTAAGAGATGTGAGGGAAGGTGTAAGTAAGTATTTTAAAGGTTAATGACAGCATCACAAAACAAAACAAAACAAAAATAGCACTTGTATATCCAGTCTTCAAATACCAAAGAAACAGTTTTTAAAAATCTGTACATTCCAGGTGTGCATGTATGTCCATGATGCTGGCTGACTGAAGAGCTGAGAGTATGGAGTGAGTGCTGCCTGAAATCATGTTGAGACTGTTTATCTGTCTACCTCTCTTTCTCTATGTCTCTGGTGAAAGAAACAAATAAACTTTAAAAATTTTAGCAGTAAGTGCCCTAACATCAAGAATTTCGCACCAGGGAATGGAAATGACTGACTAGAAACAGTCACCAAGGTGTAACTCTGGGGAGAAAGTTCCAAAAAATTTAATAAGTGCCTAAACTTCCAGCAGAGGAGTAAACTGACAGACTGCAAGACAGTGGAAGTTTCTGGAATACTGAATCTAGGCTCAGAGATGAATCCATATTTTTTTCTGGAAGCAGGGTTTAGGTTATTAAGTTTTCATTTCATTTCTTTTCTTTTCTTTTTCTTTTTTTTTTTGGAGAGGTTTTTGCTATAGGAAGTGTGCACTCACCAGAAAGACAGAGACAGACAGAAAGACAGAAAGCAAGAAATCACCCCCTTGGGGGGATGGCCGCACCACAATCCCTTCTCCTCCATTCTCCTCTCAGGATCTTGAGCACGCGTGCACATGTGCCCAGCGTTAATTTAAGCCACCAGATCTGGAACTCGAACTGTGATTGACTACATAGGAGTCCAGGGACATAGCCATTAAGCCAACTGCTGGTTCCAAGTTTTCATTTCTTTAAACCCATTTCATCTAAAAAAACATTTTACTTGCATTTTTGGATCCCTGAGACAGATTCTTTGAGCCATTCAAAATAAAAATTAACAAGTAAATTTAATAGTTGCTTAAACTATGGCAACAAAGAATCCTCTTGACATATATTCTTTAGACATCCCAATTTCGTTCCTTCATCAAGTAAATATTAACAAAACCCCTCTAAATAAATTAGATATTACCAACTTCTTTGATATCCAAAATAAGGAATATATTTTATATAAAAGAGTAGGTAAAGCTTGAAGGTTTGAGGGATGTACAATTGAAAGATTGAGATAAGACTTGTTTTTAATTATGTTTTATGTTGCACTGGGTTGAATCTTTCCTTGGTCATAAAATAACTTTGAAAGTCTTGTTTTATCAACACTTCTGTGCTTCTTTAATTCTTTTTTCTTTAGTGAAACTTCATTAACAGACATTAGAATAATTTTACAGACCCTATGTCCCCAAAAAAGTACTTTATTGATGATGTTACTCTGTTTTTACTTTATGAATTTAAAGTATTAGTCAGGGTTCGAATTAACATTAAGAAAAAGAGAACTAACATTGTCGTGAGCAGTATCTACATTGGCTTCATATTTACACAAATATATTTCTAACACAGCTCAATTATTCTAGGCTGTGAGCTATGACATGAGAGAAGTCATGACCAAGTGGTCTTTTTGAAACTTTTGTCCTGAAAGAACAGACTCCTCAAGAGAACATATTGAGTGTTGGTAGAATTATATTATTAGAATTGCTTTTCCTGCTTTCCCCAATAATTTTAGATAACTGATTCCTGGAGAAATATGAATATTAATATTTCTTCTTTTCAACAGTGACAGGGAGTTATATTCTTAGCATTTATACCAGTGTGTATAGAAGCAAATATAGGAAAAAGAAAGCAATCCAAGTCACAATTAATAAAAATTTTTAAATAACACTCATAACTCTAAGACTTTATGGTGAATACCTTTCATAAACTCACACTTTCAGTTTATGAATTAGTCATTTATAATTTAAACAAAAATAGAAAGTAATTAATAAAAAAATTAAAAGTGTCAAAACTTACTACTTTTTATGATCTTATAAATTCTATTTATCATTACTCGCAATATATGGGCTTTGCCATTAGAGAGACTTGGATTAAAAATATAAATGGGCCAGTAAATAAATTTGTGACTTTAAATGAGTGGCTTAAATTTTTTAAGCTTTAGTTTTCTTTTTAAAATGGAGTTAAAATGACAATGATTTGAAATAATGTAGGTAAAATAAATCGTGTACATAGATCATGTGATACTGAGTCTCTAAGAATAGCTGTGTTATTCATTTAATCTTATTTTTATCATTTTTTACTCATTTATTTATTTATTTGACATGCTCTTCAAAAGAAATAGAGAAAAAAAAAATTGAAGCATCCTCATTTTACAATCCTTCATTCATTTTTCCCTCCTGCCAGGATCAGGGCACAGACACACACTGAAGCCATGATTCAAACCGCAGTGGACTGTGTGGGATCCAACTCCTTTAATCACTGTGCTACTGAGCTGGCTTTGTGTTATTAAATGTATTTTCATTGATTTGAGACAAATATCCAATTTTGGGAAGGATATTTATAGTAGTTTTTATTTATTAAAAGTTTTGTGTATTCCAATGACCGAAGAATATTTTTTAATAACGAACCTCAACCTCACTTTATTCAAGAAAATGTAAAAAAATG